TTTGGTCGGCGCCGAACACGCGGTGAGTAGTGACCTCGACCTCGAGCTGAGACATTCCTTCTTCAGGTGGCGCGTGACGCTCTGCTTCAGCGATGCGGCGGGTCCGCGGCCGGCAATTGCGCTGGTTGACGTCGTCGGCGTATGACAATCCCTGCATATGCCGTCTGGGTCAGGGTCGTGCAGCGCCGTTTCGCGTGGGTGGGGATGATGCGGCACCCATGGTCTACCATCAGGGTGCTTCCAATCCCTGCGGTGGATGTGCTCGAAGCGCAGTGGCACGAGATCAATTAACTCGTGCGAGTCGCCGCTGCAGTCGGGAATGTCGAAATCCAGGACATACACTCCATTTTCGGAGTGCGCTCGTCCGATCTGCCTGCGGGGAAAGTTGCGCGATTCGTAGTGCAGCAGAATGTCGCGCGTCGCGCGATCCGTGCTGAGGTCAACGCCGCAGTCCATGAGCTGTGCGGTGGAGAGGAGGTTGAAGCGCAGGTTCTGGACGATTAGCACATCGTTGAGTGTGATGTGCGTGCGGCTTCCGCGTGCCTTGAGCACGACGATGCCTTGCGCGCTTGCGCGCAGGCGTGTATTGTTGGCGACAGCGTTGGATATGTAACGCTCCGAGCCCACCATGTGCTGGCCGCAGCAGCTGTCCAGGTACCAGGTGTTGTAGCGCTTGTTGTCGTCACGTGCGAGCAGCGCCAGTCGCGGCGTGACGATGTGCGGAGTGTCGAACTTCAGAAATTGCTCGCGCGAGAGCCAATCAAGTGGCGCCACCCGCATATCAGGTACGTGCGGGGGACTTTCAAGCAGCGGGACTGGAAGATTCCAGTCCTGGTCGTCGTCGTCGGTGAAGTCGTGGCGCGGACTGAACGGATTGTTGTTGGTGAATGCGCCAATGGGGTGCGGTGCTGGCTCAGGTGAAGGTGAGCGCACGCGGCGACGACGCGACTCGCCCGTCATGGCCATGTTGCTCATGACGTTGCGTACTGGGGCAGTCGATGACGGCTGCTGCTGCTGATGCTGAACCGCTGGGTTCAGGTTGCGCGCGGGTGGGGGTTGATACCCCTGGGCTGGACGCACGTCGCCTCGTGCATCTTGTCGGCCGGACCAGTTGCTCGGATTGGTCTGGCGAGGGCGAGATCGGGATTTGCATCGATCCGCCAAATGCCCGAAGTTTCTGCAGATTTTGCAGTAGAGGCGCCGCGGTCTTCGCTCTTCGTTGTTGTCGGCGTAGAAGGCGAGCCGTTCGCGTTCTCGTCGCGGCGCTGGTCACTGCAAATCCATATCCCTTTGTTCGACGAGAAGGGCGGCGCAAAGGGCGGCCTCCGAGATGACCCCCTGCTGTCGAAGAAGCGCCTTGCAGGGCCGCCACTCTGGGCCGAGCCCTTGAAGCACGATGTTCACGAAGATTTCTTCGGAAATCGAGCTTCCCATCGCGAAGGCATCGACAGCGATTGATATAGCTGTAAGCCTTCTCCCATGGGGCCATTTTGGAGCAGCCGGCTCGAAGAAACAGAGTCCTTCGGCTGATACACACCATTGAGATGGCGTCAGGCGTCGAGGGCTGGAGTGGTCGATGTTTTGTATGAGCGGATGCTCAATTGCTCCGCCGGCGACATATTCCGCAGGAGCACCCCGTACGCCATCAGAGATTCGTTGTAATATCTTACCTTGGCGTCGTCGGTGTCCTCAGCAGGCTCCGCGTAGCTCCCGTCGAAGTAATGGAAGATTTGGGCGTTCTGCAGCAGGAGCTCCAATTCGAAGCTCCAGGTATAAAAATCTCTGCCGTCAAAGCAGGTACTTGTCTTTATTTTTGATATGCTGAGAAACCTTGATTGTGCAGAGAGAATTGCCTCTTCACTGGGACGGGGAGTCTTGGGGGTTGAGCCATTTGTGTCGAGGGAGAAAGTGTGCGGGGCGGCGTTCTGGCCAGTTGGGGCCGGTTGAGAAGGTTGCGAGGATGTTCCCGCATCGTCGTTCCGCAATGTTTGGAGCCCTTGCTCCAAGCTGGTGAGTCGCTGAAGGAGTTGTGTGAGGACATCGGTGTCGATCGTTGTCGTTTCCTCGCTTGTCGCAGCCAGGTTGGATCTCGCTTCAGCCGTCAGATTAGTCTGACCACCAGATCCTCCGGCCATCTTTACACGCGAGCGTGTGCCGGACGCCACTTTCCGAATGTCGTAATTTTCGGGAATAATGATGCGAAGGATTCCCGAGCCGCTCTCATACCATGGTGCGATAAGATGTTGATCGCTGCCAGGATCTACTCGGGAAGGTTCGCACGCAGAGAGGTAGAGTTGGTGGGCCCTTGACTTCAATAGCAGAGTGAATGTAAAATGTTTTGAGATAAATTAAAACATGCAAATACAACAAATATAAATATGAGTACAGGGAAGGCGAAACGTCCTAGCTAGCCATATGCTCTAAGGGGTGCATTCTCTTATTCAAATTCATTCCCAACCGTGCGGCGCGTACAGTTACGAAACCGTTCCCGCCAAAAGCCCTCGAGCCTGCAGCTGCTCGATGCCGTCTGCTCCGACGGTCCAGATGCGCCTTAACCGTCTGACGCTTCGAGTCAACTCTGACTCTTCACGTTTGTTCTCGATACTGCATGCTTCCTTAGCTGCGGTCGGGAGTGTACTTTAAACTTCATTCATTGCTATTCGTAACAATATGTATTTCACATGTTCTCTAAAAGACAGTTCAACCTATCAGTACTAGGCGTAACATGACTTCTGCACGCATCTGCGGTGCGAGTGTCGCCGAGCTCAAAATTCCCACCGATTCCGCTCCCACTTCTCTGGAATTCTTCGCTAGACCTCGTTTCGTCGCCGCAAATCCCAGGGCAAATCACGTTCATGCTTGTTTCGTCCCAGACTCACGCCCATTTGATGCCCACGCTCGCGTCATCCCCGCAAATCCTGACAACCACACGATTCGTTTCCAGCAAATCGGTGATCACTCCTTGCTCCCTAGGCGTGAGATTGCCGGACCAGACTACCGTGGAGCCACATGATCCCGTAGTGGCCAGTAACCCAGCCTATCTGGTCCGAGCAGTGCCGTAAACGCCGCTTACCTCTCGTGAGTATTTTACTATCCCTGTGGCGAGTACCTGCTCAGACCGGTGGTTAAAGCCGTCGTTTGTTTGCTGGTTGATGATCCGCGCGCGCGCCATTCACAGGCTCCTCGCGTCGTGTCTGTCGTACCGTTGTCTAAGCGTTGCCGCTCCCAGCGCCGGTGAATCCACTACGAGAACATTTTCAAGTTCAGGGCCACCATACACGGTTAGTATGTAAAAGTTTGACCTTTTTCTCCGCTCACCTGAATTGCCGCCTCATTCGAAATCATTAGTAGAAACTTTGGACGTCTACTTGAGGTGTGGAGTTTTTTTTCGTTTGGAGATCACTTTTGATTCCACTTACGGATCCGCCTACATTCTGGTTACGATTTCTTTCTTTACATGTTGACGAGCCACCTACGGTTACATTTTTTTTTTATTATTATTATATATATCGCGATGTGCAAAGCGGCCCTAGACGACTCGCTGGGTCGTCCACCTCTTCTTTTCGCACATTTCGTCGTCTTGGCCCGTCACGTACTCTCCTTCCTTTCCCCGTGGTATCCGCGCTATTTTCGCGATTCTTCTGCATGCTCCTAACGCACGCTTCCGTCAATCCGCTGAAGCCGTTCCCTGCCCAACACCCATCAGAGCGACGGCATAGTGAGCTGGGACCACGTCAGCAACGTGTCAGCCGCCAGGAGCAGCAGCAGCAGCGGCGGCGGCGGCGGCGGCGGCGGCAGCAGCGGGAGCAGGAGTGCCGGTGCCATGGATCGCGAGCGGTTCTTGGGCGTGTTCAAGCAGCTTAAGGCGGAGCTGTTGGGCGAAGACAAGCTGTTCTCATGGACGCCGGAGTCGAAAGCGTGGATGGAGAAGGTGCGTGCAGGACCCTTTGCTGTGTAGAGTAGAGGCTGTATGAGGCTCGAGCGGCTCAAGGTGGAGCTGCTGGGCGAAGACAAGCTGTTCTCATGCACGCCGGAGTCGAAAGCGTGGATGGAAAAGGTGCGTGAAGAGTAGCGAGATGGGGATCGCATGTAGTGTAGGGTAGAGGCTTTGTGAAGCTTTGTGTGGCTTTGAGAGGCTTTAAGAGGCTGTGTGAGGCTTTGAGAGGCTTTAAAGGCTGTGTGAGGCTTTGAGAGGCTTTAAGAGGCTTTGAGAGGCTTTGAGAGGCTCAAGGAGGAAATTCTGGGCAAAAACAAGCTGTTCGCATGCACGGTGGATTCAAAAGCGTGGATGGGGAAGGGCGTGCAGGGTAGATGGCGTGATGTGCTGCGGATCGCTTGTGGTGTTGGGTGGAGGATGTGTGAGGCGAGGCGCAACTCACGCAGCTTATGGGGTAGGTAGGGAGCTGCTGGGCTAAGAGAAGCTGTTTGCGTGCCGTGCTCGCCAGACTCGAATCGAAAGCGTGGATTGAGAAGGTTGTGTCCAGTGCAGGATAACATGCTGCGGAGCGGATCACTTGCAGTGTCGGGTAGAGGCTATGTGAGCCTCAACTCAAACAGCTTAAGGGAGAGAGGTTCTAGGCAACAAGAAGGCGCGTGCATAATAACATGATGGCATAACGTCCTCCTCATTCCGCTCCCTCCCCATCTCCCCCGTATCCCACTCCCTGTCCCCACCGCTCTCCCCTGTCTGCATGTGGAACTCTGTACGCGCCACTGTGCTCGTCGCTGCAACTCTCGCGTTTGTTGCCTTGCCGCTGTGCTCGGCTGGCTGGTGGGTGTTCGGCCCGGGTGATGGGAGGACGACACGGTGCACTCTCAACCTGGCTCGCCAGAACATCGATCACAATGTACCCGGAGGTATGCACGCATGCTCTTGCTGCTGTGCCGTGTCAATACTCACTTCTTTCTTACCTCATAATGCTGTCATCAGATCAGATCAGACACACTCCTGCTCAGCTCAGTGCACTGTCAAACACATCTTCAGTCAGGCCAGCTCCCATTCACCTCTCCGTGTGCGCCGTGCCTCTCACTCCTGTTCCCTTAACCCCCTCGTCTGCACGCCAGGCAAGCTGAACCGGCCTATCAGTGGTGGACACGGTGGAGATTCTCAAGGCCCATTCCGTGCCCTGTCCCCCTCTTCCTCCCATCTTGTGAACGCCTGCCAGGCAAGCTGAACCGCGGCCTATCAGTGGTGGACACGGTGGGGATTCTCAAGGGCGGCTTTGATAAGTTATCAGAAGATGAGGTCTTCAAAGCCAGTGCTGTTGGCTGGTGCATCGAATGGGTATGGCCGTATGATTGATGCCTGGATTGTGCATGGCTGGTGGTAAATTGATTGGGTATCGCTGGTGCATTCAGTGGGTTTGTCTGCTGCTGCATTGACTGTGTATGGCTGCTGCATCGCATCAAATGTGTATGGCTGACATGCACTGCTTTTACAAACTTCAATGCTCTATCCGCCCCACCCCTATTGTGCAGCTGCATTGTGCCCCCCCCAACCCCCCCTCCTCCTCCTCCTCCTCCTCCTCCTCCTCCTCCTCCTCCTCCTCCTCCTCCTCCTCCTCCTCCTCCTCCTCCTCCTCCTCCTCCTCCTCCTCCTCCTCCCCCTCCTCCTCCTCCTCCTCCCTTGTGCAATTGCAATTTTACTTTTGGTGACCCCGTGGATCAACCTGAACTCCACCACCCGCCTTCCCCTCCGCTTCCCGCATGTGCCCCCCTATGCATGTGCCCCCCTATGCATGTGCCCCTTTATGCATGTGCCCCCCTATGCATGTGCCCCCCTATGCATGTGCGGCTGCAAGGCTACTTCCCAGTGATTGATGACATTATGGATAACTCAATCACCCGCCCTTACTGAACGCGTTCCATTACCTGCCCGCTGCCCCATGCCGCCCCTTCCCTCTGCCCCCCCCTACAGCTGCAAGGGTATTTCCTGGTGATAGACGATATCATGGATAGCCCCATCACCCGCCCTGACCCCCCCCCACCACGTCCCCTCTTTCTCCTGCCCTCCCATCTGTCCCTCCCCCCCTACAGCTGCAAGGGTACTTCCTGGTGATTGACGATATCATGGATAGCTCCATCACCCGTCGAGGCCTTTGAAAATTCCCTATAACCCCCCTTCCCACACTTCCCACCCACGTATCCCCTGCTCCTCCTACAGCTGCAAGGGTACTTTCTGGTGATAGACGATATTATGGATAGCTCCATCACCCGCCGAGGCCAACCCTGCTGGTACCGCGTGGACAAGGTGAGTGCAGGCGTGGCTTTTGGCTTCTGCTATTCTGTGCTGTGCTGCGGTGCTGTGCTGTGCTGTGCTGTGCTGTGCTGTGCTGTGCTGCGCTGTGCTGTGCTGTGCTGCGCTGTGCTGTGCTGTGCTGTGCTGTGCTGTGCTGTGCTGCGCTGTGCTGTGCTGTGCTGTGCTGTGCTGCGGTGATGTGCTGTGCCGTGCTGCGGTGCTGTGCTGTGCTGTGCTGTGCTGTGCTGTGCTGTGCTGTGCTGTGCTGTGCTGCGCTGTGCTGTGCTGTGCTGTGCTGTGCTGTGCTGTGCTGCGCTGTGCTGTGCTGTGCTGTGCTGTGCTGTGCTGCGCTGTGCTGTGCTGTGCTGTGCTGTGCTGTGCTGTGCTGTGCTGCGCTGTGCTGTGCTGTGCTGTGCTGCTGTGGTGCGGGGCTGTGCTGTGCTGTGCTGCTCTGCTGTGCTGTGCTGCTGTGCTGTGCTGCTGTGGTGCGGGGCTGTGCGGTGCTGTGCTGTACTGTGCTGTGCTGCTGTGCTGTGCTGCTGTGCTGTGCTGCTGTGCTGTGCTGCTGTGCTGTGCTGTGCTTTGCTTTGCTGTGCTGTGCTTTGCTTTGCTGTGCTGTGCTGCCATGACTTTGCTTTGCTGTGCTGTGCTTTGCGGTGCTGTGCTGTGCTGCTGTGCTGTGCTGTGCTGTGCTGCTGTGCATTGCTGTTCTGCGCTGCTGTGCTGTGCCATGTGCTTTTCTGTGCCATGTGATGTGCAATGAGGACAAGGTGAGTGGGCAATGCACGTCCTCCTCATCCCCGGTTGTTTTGCATGGGTACCTAGACATGTACGCCTCCCTCCTCCGTGCACCCCTCCCTTTATCCATGCACCCATGCCTGCATGCCTGCAGGTGGGAATGATCGCCATCAACGATGCGGTGCTGCTCAATGCCCACATCTTCCTCATTCTGCGCCGCCATGCGTACCCTACACTACACCCATGCAACCATCCATGCATCCGTGAATCCCTCCTTTCATCCATGCACCCATACGCCCATGTGACCATGCATGCCTGCAGGTGGGCATGATCGCCATCAACAATGCGGTGCTGCTCAACGCGCACATCTTCCTCATCCTGCGCCCTGCATGTCTTGGCTATTCGTCCAAGCATCCATGCACCCCTCCCTTCATCCATGCACCCATGCCTGCCTGCGTGCCTCCAGGTGGGCATGATCGCCATCAACGATGCAGTGCTGCTCAACTCCCACATCTTCCTCATCCTGCGCCGCCACTTCTCCTCCCACCCTGCTTACACCCGCCTGCTCGACCTCTTCAACGAGGTACTTCGCTTCTCCCTTCTCCTTTTCCCTTAAATCTGAGTCGCTTTTGAGAAATCTCAAACTTCTCCTCCCACGCCGCTTACACCCGCCTGCTCGACCTCTTCAACGAGGTACGCTGCTCCTCTTTCTCCCCCCTTTTTGAGGCGTCTGTATTGTCATCTCATGTTTTGAGGCGCCTCAAAGCTGCACCGCCACTTCTCCTCCCACCCCGCCTGCACTCGCCTGCTCGACCTCTTCAACGAAGTACGCTTCTTCTCATCACTCTCTCCCCCTCCCTCCATTCCTCCCCTCCATTATCAATACCTGAATCTTCCTTGACAAATTACCTGTACTCACCCCTCTTGCACACCATCATCCTCAATCCAGTCCTTTCAATTGTCCTCATCCCCCCTCTTGGCTCCTCTTTTCTCCTCTTCCCCTCTTCTCCCCACCTCTCCCCTCTGCCCCACCCTTGCCCCCTCCCCCTATCCCCTCTGCCAGGTGACATACCAGACAGCGTGTGGGCAAATGCTTGATCTCATCACTACTCCTGAGGGGGAGGTGGATCTCAACAAATACACCATGTCCACGTGGGTATCTTGTGGCAATACACCATGTCCACGTGGGTATCTTGTGGCAATACACCTTGAGCCTGTGGGTCTAATCACGCAGATGTTACACCTGCTTGGGCTGCAATGTACCATATATGCATGGGCACACACACCATTGCAATACACTCTGTCTAAGTGGGTATACTGCGAGAATGCACTATTTTTACTTGGATATACCGTGTGGTCCTACCATGGCGATATACTATGTCCACTGTATACCATGGTACCATAACATACCCATCCCTCATGCCCGTGTCCACTCAACCTTTTTCTCAACCCTCTCCCTTGCCCAGATATCTCAAGATCGTGCAGTACAAGACAGCCTACCACTCCTAGTTTTGAGACGTCTCATATCTTTGTTCCCAACCCTCTCCCGTGCACCAATCTTCCAGATATCTCAAGATCGTGCAGTACAAGACAGCCTACTACTCCTTCTACCTTCCTGTAAGCATCGTCCTCACCCCTCCCACCAGCCCGCCCTCAACTCATCCCCCAAAGCATGTTCCTCGTTGTCATCTCGTCCGTCCCGCCCTCTGCCTTCTGCACTTCAGCTCTCCCTGCGTGTGCGCTGCTCTCGCTCCCCAATTCTCTATCACCTTCTCGTATGTATGACTCAACAAATGGTCGAGCCACCCCCCCTAACTTACTGGCCTTGCAATATCCCCCTTACCTTATGCATGGTTGCTTAAACCCGAACCTTCTAAACCCTAACATGTGTACCCGGACTGTGCCAGGCTAACAGCCTTGAGTTGATGTGCGTGCTAAACCAAACTTTACCTTTTCCTCCCCCACCACCACACCCCCATACACACTCACACATAAGCCCCCCTGCCCTTTCTCCACCCTTCACTTCCCCTCCCACGTGTCCAGACTCCACAACCCTACCCCTTCTCCACTCCTCGTCTCCCGTTCCTTCCCCTCACTTCCCCTCCCCACCACTCACCTCCCCTTCCCCTCCCCGCACCCATTCTCCCAAGTGGCGACGGCGCTGATCTTGGCAGGCGGGGAGGAGCACTGGCAGCGCAAGGCAAAGCAAAGCCCGCCTGGCCAGTTGCCACAGCAGTGTTCCACCAGTGCAATGTGTTCAAACCTCACCCCTTCCCCTTCTCCTTCGCCCACCCGCCCGTGTTTCTTGAACCCGCGCTTGCCTCTTCTCCTCCTCCTCTGTCCTCCCCCAGGTGGCGACGGCACTGATCCTGGCGGGCGTGGAGGATGCAGCGCTGGCAGCACAAGCGAGGGAGATCCTGAGTCAGCTCAAAACACCTTTCTAGTCAAACAACTGCATGGATTCAGATCACATCTTGAGTTGGCTCAAATCCCTCTTCCCTCCCAGGTGGCGACGGCGCTGATTCTGGCGGGCGTGGAGGATGGATGCACCACTGGCAGCACAAAGCCCACCCTGCCTGTCGCCACACCCAGGGCCGTGAGTTTAACCCACCCCTGCCCCGTCTCCACCCCTCACCACACCAGGTGGCAACAGCGCTGATTCTGGCGGGTGTGGAGGACGCAGCGCTGGCAGCACAGGCGAGGGAGATCCTGGTGGTGATGGGCACGTACTTCCAGGTGCAGGACGACGTGCTCGACTGCTTTGGTGACCCCGCTGTGATAGGCAAGGTCAGTACTTGGGGGGAAAAGCTGTGAGGGCAGGGCATCCGGATATAGGCATGCTGGTGTGCTGGTTGGGTGGTGATGGGCACGTACTTCCAGGTGCAGGACGACGTGCTCGACTGCTTTGGGGACCCTGCTGTGATTGGCAAGGTGAGCAGTTTGGGATACAGGAGGGCGGCATGTGGGTTTCATCATGGTCGGAGCGGTGTGGTGGTGAAGGGGACGTACTTCCATTCCAGGTGCAGGACGACGTGCTTGACTGGTACGGGGACCCCGCTGTGATAGGCAAGGTGAGTCGTTGCGAGCACAGGAGCGCATGTGGTGGTGATGTGGGTTCTGGGTATAGAGTTGCAGGTGGGTGTGTGGTGGTGATGCGGACGTACTTCCAGGTGCAGGACAATGTGCTGGGCTGTTGTGGGGACCCTGCTGTCATTGGCAAGGTGAGCAGCTGGGGACACAGGGGGTGTTTGAATGTATGGTACTCTACATGCTGCTGCTCCCCTCCTCCACCAGGTGGGAACGGACATAGAGGACACCAAGTGCTCGTGGCTCGTGGTGCAGGCGCTGCAGCGGGCCACACAGGAGCAGAGGGAGATCATTGAGGTGAGAGCTCGCGGATAGAGGGCGGTTGGGGGCACGCAGGAGGAGTAGCGGCGGATCATTGAGAAAGAGGGCTTGTGAGGCGGTCAAAGGAGGTCTTTGGGGTGCGAGGGCGTGGGTAGGGGGCGCTTGGGAGGGCTTGTGAGGCGGTCAAAGGAGGTGATTGAGGTGAGAGGGCGTGGACAGGGGACCAGGCACAGTGCCTGCGAACCTGCACGGACGCGAAGCACATAATAGTCGAATAGTAAACAACTCCATATTAGGTTTGCCCCATGACCTTCCCCAACCCACCTCAAGGAAGGAGAAGAAACCCTCCTGTCCTCCCACCTTGCTCCTCGCCTGCCCTTTCTGCCTCCCCCTGAACACAGAGCAACTACGGCAAGAAGGACGAGAAGTGTGTGGCGGTCATAAAGCAGCTGTACACAGACATGAAGCTGCAGGTGCGTGCAGCTCCATCTATGGTTATGTGTGGTTGACTGTGGTTTTGTGTGGTTAAGTGCCACCAGCAGTGTGTGGCGGTCATAAAGCAGCTGTACACAGACATGAAGCTGCAGGTGCGTTTAGCATGTGGTGGTACCATTAAAGTATCATGAAATGAGTCACCATGAAAGTATTAAGAGCTGCTGCACGGGGAGTGATTTTTGAGTCGGAGGTGAGACTCGATGAAAGCACCATGAAAGCATCAACCTTGACGGAGACGGAGATGCAGAGTGCTTTCTGTGTGCCACTATCCCACCCCGCATGCACTCAGACGGTGGAGCAAGGCTCCAAGCTCCAACCTTGCCTCCCGTCTGAAACCTGCCCTCGCTTCAAAAGGCAACCTCTTGGAAACCAGAGTCCTTTGCAGCAGGGGCTTGCATGCAACATCTATGGCTGAGACTGGCCGTGGTTATGGGCATGCCAGACTGCTGCACGGCTGACACACAGGCAGTGCTGCCCACCCAAAAGGGTGCTGGCGTTGCTGCTGATCATCCGTGCCTGGTTTCTGGTGTGTTAGTTGCCATGGTCACATACATATATGAGTTTGGTTGGGCGGGGCCGTGGTTATGGGCATGCCAGACTGCTGCGTGGCTGGCTGACAGTGCTGCCCACCCAAAAGGGGCTCGCCTGCAGGGTGATGGCCCTGAGGGTGCTGGCGCTGCTGTTGCTCAGCTATGCCTGGTTTCTGGTGTGTTAGTTGCCACGGCTACATATGAGTATGAGTTTGGTTCAGCCGTGCCGCGGTTATGGGCATGCCAGACTGCTGTGTGGCTGGCTGACAGTGCTGCGGGGCTCACCCTCTCCACTTATTCCTCTCCATTCCCCCTCTCCCCCTTTCACCTGACATGCTACAGGATGCATTCGCAGAGTACGAGAGGGAGAGCCATGCAAGCAACACAGTCGTCTCTTCATCCTTCTATGTTGGTGTAACTTTTGATAATTTTCAAAAGTAACACCAGCATCACACACAGCCACCTCCTCTGGTGTAACCCCCCTCCACACATTCTCGACCATGCATTTCCCTCCCCACGCCCTCACCTGTCGTGCTACAGGATGCATTCGCAGAGTACGAGGAGAGCCACGCAAGCATCACAGCCGCCTCGTCATAATAGCCTCAATGTAACCCGCCTCCATACATTCCCCTCCATGTAATTGCCCTCTCCCTTGGAATGCTACAGGATGCATTCGCAGAGTATGAGAAGGAGAGCCACGCAAGCATCACAGCCGCCATCGCCCAAGTGGAGAGTGAACCGCTGAGGGTGAGAATTAGGGCGTGAACTTCTTAGGGTGAGAATGAGAGGGTCCGTCCTGTGTGTGCTGCATTAGGGAGCTGCAGTGGCTGCAAGAGGGGAAGGTGTTGTCATCGTAGGGGGCTGTTGAGGCGCCTCAAAACTCGTAGGGGGCTGCTCTGATGGTTCACATTGTGGTATATGATGCAACAGACATGCAACTCTTGCAGGGCACCCGGTTGCACTTGCTGTGCTGCTTGCATGAGGCACCGACATTATTCCTCGACAGCGCATGCCGGCACCTGAATCAGCATCTGACCTCGTTCCTCACCTCTTCGCTCTCATGCCTTTCTTCTTGCACTCCTTCCTCAAGAAGATTTACAAGCGCCAGAAGTAGCAGCACCTGACCTCGCTCCTCACTTCTTCCCTCTCACGTCTTCCCCGATGCTGTGCTCTTGCTGTGATGCTTGCAGGAGGCATTGACGTCCTTCCTCAAGAAGATCTACAAGCGCCAGAAGTAGCAGCACCTGACATGTGAACTTAGTCCCACCTGGTACCTGGACTGGGAATACCCCTAAGAAGGGGCAGAATGGTTTTGACTTACACACCACTACCACATTCGCTTGTGGTTACACGCCCCTCAGTTTAGTGATGGGGGGGCTGTCTAGTCTCGTAATGGGGCCCTAATCTTGTTATGGGCCCCTGGTCTAGTATTGGGTGCCAAATTAGTAACAGGGCCAAAGTCTAGTTATTCGGCCCTAGTCTATGATTGGGGCCCAATCTGGAGGCCCTAGTCTAGTACCGTTACAGGGCCCGGATCTAGTAATCGGGCCCAATCTTGTATTGCACTTGCTGCTGTAGCACCATGCTCCTGTAGGGCAACCCAATTATTTCATTACAAACAACGGTTACAGAAAGATCTACATTCAATGAATCCCCTCCAGCCATCTCCCTACTCCTCTCATACCCATTAGAGGCCCCCAGAGATCTACACATTCCTCTCATATTCACTTTGAAATTAGCCCTTATGATCCATCCAGAACCAGAACTTCTTAGTGGTACGACACAACACCAGGACGTGTGCTGCACAGCAGGGTTACGGTACGCAGATTGTGCTTGTGAGATCATCAGCCACTACTGGTGTGGATTTTGGTTGCAATGGTCATGACTGGTGTGACCACGACTTGAAAGTATCATGACTTGGAGTAATCTCGAGCACCAAATATGGTGGACCCCACTCGCACGTTCGTACTACCCATCTCCACCTGCAATGCAGGGCATGGGGTGGATGGGTGAGAGGGTTGGGTGTGCAGCATTGGTATGGTTCCTAAATGGATGGGTATGGCATGTATGGTGGATCCCACTCGCACGTTCGTGCTACCCATCTCCACCTGCAATGCAGGGCATGGGGTGCAAGGGTGAGAGAGGGTTGGGTGTAGAATTGGTATGGTTCCTAAATAGATGGGTATTGCATGTATGGTGGACCCCACTCGCACGTTCATGCTGCCCATCTCCACCTGCAATGCATGGGTGGAGCATATGGTTGCGTGCACATTGTACGGTACAACTTGGCAATGCTTTTGAGTCGAGTCAAAAGCACACTTGCACGTTCATGCTGCCCATCTCCACCTGCAATGCATGGGTGGAGCATATGATTGCGTGCACATTGTACGGTACAACTTGGCAATGCTTTTGAGTCGAGTCAAAAGCACACTTGCACGTTCATGCTGCCCATCTCCACCTGCAATGCATGGGTGGAGCATATGGTTGCGTGCACATTGTACGGTACAACTTGGCAATGCTTTTGAGTCGAGTCAAAAGCACACTTGCACGTTCATGCTGCCCATCTCCACCTGCAATGCATGGGTGGAGCATATGGTTGCGTGCACATTGTACGGTACAACTTGGCAATGCTTTTGAGTCGAGTCAAAAGCACACTTGCACGTTCATGCTGCCCATCTCCACCTGCAATGCAGGGCATGGAGCACATGGTTGCATGTGCATTGAACAACTTGGTAAAAGCATGAGTTATGATTGGAATGAGTTGTGCCGAAATGGCATGGCATGGCATGGCATGGCATGGCACGGCATGGCATGGCATGGCATGGCATGACATGACAAGTACGGATGGACCCACTCGCACGCTGCTGCTGCCCATCTCCAGGAATACGGGTGGTAGTGAGGCGAAGGAGTGGCAACGATGTAAGACAGTGGCAACGACAAAAGTGGGCAAAGGGCAACATACGAGGAATAAAAAATTCAATGCACCAGCACTCACCACATGCTCCAAGTTGTTGGATACACCCATACACACCTCTAATTCTAGTCACTTGTATTCAATTTCAGTTACGTGTTCAAACAAGCAACTCAACCCGAAGTTGTTGGATGTGCCTTTGTTCACTTTGAAGGTCAACCTCACTGAGGTTAACCTCAGTGATTAACTCACCGCCTGCTCAAATCAAAGTCGTATGACATGCCCATGGATAGCTACAACTCGCCTGGGGTGACACACATGAGCGCCTTACGTACACATGTTCTAGTCTTGGAGAGAGACTGTCAATCAACTCACCGCCTGCTCAACTCACCGCCTGCTCAACTCACCGCCTGCTCAACTCACCTCCTGTTCAAAGTCGTTAGACATGCCCATGGATAGCTCCAGCTCAATTCACTTGTATTGATGGGTCCTTGCTTAGATACAATCTCAATGCCCACACCCATAACTCAAAGTCGTTGGACTTGTTTGGTTACAACCTCAATCATCAACTCATCGCCTGCTCAAAGTCGTTAGACATGCCCATGGATAGCTCCAGCTCAATTCACTTGTATTGATGGGTCCTTGCTTAAATACAATCTCAATGCCCACACCCATAACTCAAAGTCGTTGGACTTGTTTGGTTACAACCTCAATCATCAACTCACCGCCTGCTCAAAGTCGTTAGACATGCCCATGGATAGCTCCAGCTCAATTCACTTGTATTGATGGGTCCTTGCTTAAATACAATCTCAATGCCCACACCCATAACTCAAAGTCGTTGGACTTGTTTGGTTACAACCTCAATCATCAACTCACCGCCTGCTCAAAGTCGTTAGACATGCCCATGGATAGCTCCAACTCGCCTGGGCTGAGCCCAAGCTGCTCACACACCTCCGCTCGACACCTGGCAAGCGCCTATTGGTGGACGCGGGGGTATGCGATGCAGTGGCAGGATAGTGAAGAGGTGCAAGTCAAGAGGAAGCCACAGCATGGAACAAGGGTGAGACATGTCTAGTGAAGGGAATGCTGAAAATGCATTCTGTAGGCGGAAAATGGGGGCCTGGGAGAAGAAAATCACAGTGAATAAGACCAGCGGCTACGAGGAAGAAAAAGGCGCAACCTATGAAAGAAAGGAGCAAGAGAAGGATGAAAGCTCGACGCTCAACGTTTTTGGGGAGGGAGAAGCAAGAAAAATGCAGGGCCGTAAACGGGAGAAGGGGCAAGAGACCTAGAAGTTTTCCGGGCAGAAGGAGGAAGGGGGGAAGGGAAGGGAAGGGAGTGAAAGGGCAAGAGAGAGATGAGCGATCGAACCTCAAAGTTTTCGGGGCGGGAGGAATAATCGGGCATGCCAATGGTCATTAGCCCTGCAAAGCAGAGGTTGGGGCACTCCGCTGTGACATGCCGCACCAGGTCCGCACAGGCCGACGGGTGCACGCCATGCTTGCCTGGTGGGAGGGGGGTAGGTGAGAAGAGGGTAAGGAGAAAGAGGAGAAGTGGGTCATGCCAAGCCAATGGTCAGGTCATGAGCCCCGCGAAGGAGAGTTTTGAGGCGCCTCAAAATTTTTGAGGGTAATGAGACGACTTTTGAGGCGCCTCATACGGAGAAAGAGGAGTAGTCGGGCATGCCAATGGTCATAGCCCTGCGAAGCAGAGGTTAGGGCACTCCGATGTCACGTGCCGTACGGGGGCCACACAGGCTGATGGATGCACCCCGTGCTTGCCTGAAGGGTGTGAGGACAGCAGAGCATCACCAGGCAAGAGGAACACGGGGAGTGAGGTTGGGGCATTCTGATGTGACATGCTGTACGAGGTCCACACACGCTGATGGATGCACCCCGTGCTTGCCTGAAGGGTGTGAGGACAGCGGAGCATCACCAGGCAAGAGGAACACGGGGAATGAGGTTGGGGTATTCTGATGTGGCGCGCCGTACGAGGTCCACAGACGCTGATGTATGCACCCCGTGCTTGCCTGCAGCAGAGCACACGCAAGAGGGACACGGAGAAAAGAGGTTAAGACACTCGCATGTGACATGCCGTACGGGGTCCACACAGGCTGATGGATGCACCCCGTGCTTGCGTGAAGGGTGTGAGGACAGCAGAGCATCACCAGGCAAGAGGAACACGGGGAGTGAGGTTGGGGCATTCTGATGTGACATGCCGTACGAGGTCCACACAGGCTGATGGATGCACGCCATGCTTGCCTGGTGGACAGGAGGAGGTAGATGAAGAGAGGGATGGGGAGAGTGTAAAGGAAAAGAAGGAAAAAAGGGAAAAAGGTTGAGACACTCTACTGTGACGTGAAACCATAGACCCCCCTGCTTTCCCCCTGCTACTCACTGTCCCTCCCATAACTCACTTGCACTGACACGCGCACGGGAAACACATACACCCCCTTGCTTTCCCCCCGCTACCATCTCTACCCCCCATTACTCACTCTCCTCTCCATTTGTGCTGGCTTGCACCAACACACAAGAAGGGATAAGTAGGGAACTCAAGCAAAGTCTCGTGCCTTTCTCCCCTCCCTTCCAACTCACTCTCCTCGCTGCTCGTGTTGACCTGCACCAGCACACACAAGGGAATCACACGCTCCCTTTTCTCTCCCCCCCGCTTATCACTCCTCCCCTCACTCACTCTCTTCGCCGCTCGTGTTGACTTGCACCAGCACACGCACTGGAAACACGCACTGGAAACACGCACTCGCTCTCCCCCCCTCTTCACTCACTCTCCTCGCCGCTCGTGTTGACCTGCACCAGCACACGCAAGGGCGGCCTCCCTGCTGCTGTCACGGCCCTGTTGAGATAGTTGGCGATCTGAGAGGGGTTGGAAGCAAGGAAACAAAGGGGGGAAAGAAGGGATAAGCAGGGAACTGAAGCATCAATAGGCGCATTAGGCAAAGGGGAACAACATGGCACACGCAAGGGCGGCCTCCCTGCTGCTGCCACGGCCCTGTTGGGAGAGGACGGTGGGGAGAGTAGGACGGGAGAGGAGGAAGAGACTAGCAGGAAATTCGATCATCAATGTGCACTAGAGGCAAAGGGGATAACAGGAGGCCGCCCCCTTGCTGCACGGTTTTCAATTCAAGTGACAGTGAACATATAAGGCACCCAACACCTCCTTCCAATCCAATCCAGCCATCCACCCACACATACATCACACCCCGCTTGTGATAAGCCAATTTTTTAGTCGGCTCAAAAATCGACCCATCCAGCCACCACTTAAGCATACATCACACCCCGCTTGTGATAAGCCGATTTTTTAGTCAGCTAA